ATTGTGATCTGAACAAGCCTGCAATCTAGAAACCCCACTTACCAGCTTTGATAAGTTATTTTTTTGAGCTTCTGATAAATTTGCTTTCCATAATCTGAAAAATGTAGGGTTTTTCTATCAATATACTATTTTATTAATAATTTTATTTAAAGTATATCTCTAAATCAGAACAAAGGTAGAACTCAATTTTAGAACTCCAATTCTCTTCTTGTCTTCCTTGATTCTCATCATGAGATGCCTCTTCCTGCTTTCTACACAATATTGTATTGTGCTTAATCTAATAATCATTTAAAGAAATGCACGATTTTTGAATGTGAGCCATCTTTTTGAGGGAAGTATGCATAGTTCATGCCTATGCAAGTGACTTTTGGACATGATAAATTGCCAATGCCTTATTTCTTCATTAAGCTTCCATTCAACAAAAACTTATTTCCTACACATTCTAATATTAGCTGCCTAAGTCTGATTAATCTTAAGATTTGCTGCTTTGCTTCAGACAAAATTTGAGGAAGTCTCTTTAGGTGACTGTAGTGGTAAATCTCTCCAGTAGTGGCAATGTGCCACTTCAGTGGAAAGGGAGGCAGTTTTCGTTTCAAAATGTATAGAAATCAGGCAAGTCAGTCTGCAGTAGTTTGAAAAGTGCTGTGATAGTCCCGTTTTGTTTGTTTGTTTGTTTAAACCCTCTTTGTTTAATCAAACTGTTAATAAATAAACCTTCTCTGAACAGGCAAATACTTAAGCCTCATTGAAGAGATAAATTGTAAATTGCAAAGCTGAAACTTTTTTTTTTCTTATCGAAGTGGTATCAGATAAGAGCATAGAGTTTGTTAATGTTGCTGACATAATAAATATATCTGCCTTCAAGGCAGCACAACGTAGGGTTTGTCTTTTCATACAGAAGCTTATTATGTTCACTGTTTAAATATTAATAAAGAGTGGTTATTAAGGAATTGGTTTTTTTTTTGAGCTTAAAGTGATAGGACATAGATTAAAGACAAAAGTTAACTTGTAAACTTCAGGAAATGTTGATAGGTTTCTGCCAAAATGGTGTTTAAATTGAATCATTCTTTTCTCATATATAAGGTGCCACTATATTGACAGTTTCATCCAGTGAATTTGGCCATCTGTTTCATTTTTCTAGCTCTTTTTTTGGTTGCCTATGTTTTTTCATCCTATTTTAATTTTTTTTTTCTCTTCACCTCTAATGCCTGAACAACCATTTTGCTAGCTCGCATGGTTGCTGGAGCTCTTGTGCATGTTTTGGGGGGGTATTTTTTTTTAATTTTTTTGTTGTTTTTTCCTCTCCCTACATGTTGTTTGTATTTCTTCTTAAGAAGGCCAAATGAATTCCAACTAAGATTTCTTAGTATTTCATGGGGATTTTTTTCCCCCCTCCTGTTTCACTTCTCGTATGTTTTTATAGAAAGTGAAAGTTAACTTCATATTATTTTTAATTTAGAGTCTCGCTTTAAATTGTGACACACCCTTTCTGTCACACTCTGAAATGGTAAGGCATGAAAAACACAAATATGAGGACAAGGACATAGAATCATAGAATGCTTAAGATTGGAAGGAACCTCTAGAGATCATCTAGTCCACCCCCCCTGCACACGCAGGGTCACCAAAAGCACGTGGCACAGGACTGCGTCCAAGCAGGTTTTGAAGATCTCCAGAGAAGGAGACTCCACAACCTCTCTGGGCAGCCTGTTCCAGTGCTCTGTCATCCTCACTGTTAAAAAAAATTTTCCTTAAGTTCCTGTGGAACTTTTGGTGCTTCAGTTTGTGGCCATTACCTCTAGTCTGTCAGTGGCCACCACTGAAAAGAGACCAGCACCATCCTCCTCACTCCCTCCCTTGAGGTACTTATAGACACTGATCAGGTCCCCTCTCAGCCTTCTCTTCTCCAGGCTGAACAGGCCCAGCTCCCTCAGCCTCTTCTCATAGGGCAGATGTTCCAGGCCCCTGATCATCCTTGTAGCCCTGCGCTGGACTCTCTCCAGCAGCTCCACATCCCTCCTGTACTGTGGAGCCCAGAACTGGACACAATACTCCAGATGCGGCCTCACCAGGACTGAAAGGACGATGTTTCTAGGGTTTTTTGTTTGTTAGTTTTTCTTTCTTTATCATGTCCTCTGGGTGGGCTATTCTAAATGAATGTTTCTGAAGATTCTTGCAGTTCTACTCTACATAGAACTGTTTGCATTGTTTTATTGTTTTTTTTTTTCTCAACTGTGTTAGAAAGTAGCATCACTTTTTTCAGGGATGTAAGGAAGATAATTGACACAAGCACTTACATGATTTTAACAGTTGGGCTGTTATGAATGAAATATTGACAGGACTGTTGTCTTGCTCAGTTGGCTCATCTTAAGCTGTTGATAAGTTAATCAGTTATTGAATTTATATGATTATGAGGTCCTGTGGGAGAGGGAGGATCATGCCCTGTCCATATCACTTTGTTCCATGCTGCTCTTTCTGAGAAAAGAAATGGTGTCCGGGATGAAAAATAATCTTCAGTGCTTTCTGTAGCAGGTTTTAGTTCTTCATTTTCTTATCTAGCGGAATGAAGCTATGCTATGAAGCTGCTGTCTAGATTTTCTGTTCACCTATAATTTCGTTGGCTTCAAGTTCTACTCCTTAGCTGGTGGATCATTAATCCTGTCCACCAGTATATACACCTCTTCTTTTAAGGAAGTATACAGTTTTTATTATTATTTTTCAAGTGGAAAACATAGTTGGCAGGTGCAGTGTTTGTTTAAAAATAGAAGTCTGCTTTGAAAAATGTTAGGTAGTTAGCTGTCTGTCTACCTTACATGCTGTAGTGACAGAGAACATAGATTCTTTCACATGGTCACCGTATGTAGCTGTCTGCAAACCTATAAGCGTGAGAAAAGTGGCTAAACAGTTGCACAGTAAACCAGAAGGCATTAAAATACACAGTTGTTTGTAAGATAATTGTGGGATGAGAACTTGAGTCCAAGAAATAGTCTTGACTGTGGCCCTTAAGTGATGAGGATCTTTAGAACAGAAAGGTACAAAAATGCTGAGGATCAAGAGAGAAACTATAGCCTTCTCTGTCTTGAACAATAGTTGAATTTAGGTCTGGGTTAAAAATGGACCAGAGACCAGAATTTTTAGTTTGCTTTAGGACTGGTGAAGAACCTAGTTTTTAATGCTTTGGCTAGTAGAATTGTTTCTTTGCTGACATTGAAGATAACATAATAAAAAAGAATGTTAAGTTGTTTTTAATCAAAATGTTCGTGCTCATGTTGCAGAATGAATATAAACTGTTTGTGCAGAACAGTCAGATCTGTCTGTGATATGACTGTGACTGATATTTATTGTTTCCTATATGGAAATAAAGGAGGAAAATTTAGATGTCTGTGACTGCTTGAGGCTGTGAATCTCTTAATCCCTGGTTCTAGTGATGCTGATATAAATCTTAATAGGTACTTTTTCAGTATTATCCTTAAGCTCTTGCAGATTATTGTGATTCCCTTAGACTCTGCTTTTGAAGCTGTGTAGGAGAATATAACTAGGTGATCTGTGTGTTGCATCAGAAGATGAGATGTAATTGCCTGCCAATGACAGACACAGTATACAACTGCTAACAGGTAATCTCTCTTTAGCTGCAGTTTGTCTTCAGTTTCTTTGTTTGAGGAAGTTTTGAAATGTATAAGAACTCCTGCTGTCACCTCTGTCACAATTTTGAAGTTGTATGGGAGTTAAACCCTTTGGGGCAATACAAATAATTATGAAAGGTCTTGACCTGCATGGAATGATATAATGTTCGCTTCCAGCAGCTTAAAGTTGCCAGACAAGATGGATTGTCAGAATTGGTACTACTGGGATCACTGTGAGCAAGATCTTAAAATGCTTCAATTGATTAACTGAGGACACTAAGCTAACTTACTATATTGTGTGGAAGTGTTTGGGACCTCAGTATTTTTGTTGTCTCCCAACACTTCTAGATTGTGCTATATCTGTTTTCTTTTATTCTTACATTTCCAAAGTTCTTAAAGATGTGGTGTTTCAAATGTAAAGCATGTTGACAACACAGTATCCTCATAAAGGAAGGACTGAGGAGGATGAATCCCTTGTCTTTTAATTGGAAGAGCTGTTCTAAACCTAAACAGCGTCATATTAAATATTTTTTTCTGTATTGATGATCCCTTTTAATAGAGAGGGGAGAGGAACAGATTCCTGTAGGATTTGGGAATTGTTTCAGGGGATGTAGTCAGTGTAAAGGGAAGATCTAATGAGGCTGTCAACAATGAGGAGTACAAAAATAGAGAAGAGGTACATAAAAAGCATGTTAGTGACTCTAAAAGGAAATGTATTTTTAAGGGAATTTTTGATATATAGTAAAAACACCAAATAGTATTTTGGTAATATGTAAGTTCATATCCCTCCTTTGTTTCAGTGAAAGACATTGAAATCAGTGAATATCCAGTTTAATAAGAATAGCCTGCAATGCAGACCTGGTACTATGGGCCACATGTCACAGCTAAACTTTGAAATCAGCCTTCATTAAGTGTGTCATGCCTTTCATTCCAATAGGTGATGTTCTCCGTGTGTCTCTTATCCTTTTGTCAAGGTAAACTGGAGAAGTATGGGTACAGCTTTAGCTGTGATGTTAGTAAGGGGTCTTTCAAGTTCTGTTCATGGTGGATTTATTGTCTTAAAATATGAGGAAAGAGTCCTTTTAAAAGGACTTAAATTCTTGAGTACTTTGAACTGAACTGGAGATGGAAGATTTGAACCTAACATGGGCAGAGTAAGCAACAAGATGAGAGAAAACGTGCTGAGAATGAGCAGGTGGAAAAAGGTTGAAAATAGGAATGAAGTGTTACACTTGTAGAAAGGCAACTTGCTTTTTTTTTTAATAGAGAATTTTGCACAATTGTTTGAAGTTACAGATGTATATAGCATATCTTTTCTTCCCTCCTTCCTTCCTTCCTTTCTTTTTCTTTCCCTTTTTTTTATGCATAGCTGGGCTCCTTAGAAATATTATATACTGAAACAGGAGGTAATCCTAACCTGCTCTTTGTTTGCTTGTTTTCCTAGTTTTTCTATTGTGTGCATTATTATGCAAGAAAGTCTCCTGTCTTTCCTTTTAATGGATTGCTTTGAAATACGCTATTTTACATCTTGCTTTATATGGATTAAGTTATATGCAAGGAAAACAGGATAACAATGAGGAAGAAAACATAGGAAGAAAAATAATTTGTCCTGCATATATCTATGTGCATGTAGTATGTGAGTAAGTATGTGCATTAGATAGGTTTTGTTTGGAAATCTTTGGCCAGTTTGTTGAATTGAGTGCCTAGTAATAATGTGTAGGAGTAGAATCTGGGTTATTTAATAATGAGAAGTACAAAGTTGTTATTTTAGGGGGGGGGAAGCACACTTACTGATATCAATTTTAATATATTTGTGCTAATTAGTTTTTTAGTACATCTATGTATCTTGCAAAAACGAATCTGAAAGGGGAGGAGGGTAGCTTTGAAAATATAGTAAAACACTGAGAACTCAGTAAGCTCGTTGTTAGAACATAGACACTTATACAATTCTAAAGATTTTTTTTAAAATTGTTTTATAAAATAGTTTCTTGCACTTTACCTGCTGGCATTTCAATTTGGTAGATAACATCTGAACTCCAGCAGAGTTTTATAATCCCCACGTGCTTAAATATACTAAATGTTCTTTTTCCATTAAGGTTAATGTTCGTGAAGAGATTGAAGAGTTTTTTCCAAGAATGTGGAAGATAAATCAAGATAAAAGAAGGCTAATGAAAAGTATTAAAGATCAGAAAATTAAAATTGAATGGGGGAAAAAATTGAACAGAAGATTGGTCAGATAGAAGCACTTGAATTTTTTTTAAGGCTATAATGAATTGTTTGAATTGGGGAAGAATACACGAAGTATGAAAAATGGAAAAACTCAATGAAGAATGAAGAAAAGTAGAAAGCAAGAGTGAAGTAGAATTAAAAGAATCTGGAAGAATGAATGGGTCCTAGGTTAAGTAAATGTATGGTTTATGTTCCAGTGTCTGTATGATCAAGTTGTAGATGAATTTGCATGATTGCTTAGTTAATAGAGAATTGGTGATCTGGTTCAAGCAGGGAACTATTTGAGGAGAGCATACAATATTAACAGTGGGCGCTAGCAAAATGAAATTTGCTCTGGAGGGTATTGCCTAACCATTTGTTTTTCAGGAGCAATCAATAAAATAGAATTACTGTACTTTAAATGTTAGGAGTTAGGCATTTATACAACCAATACCATTTGTAATACTGTCTTCTTTGTTAGGAGTCTCGCTCCCAGTCAAAATCTCCAGCTGGGAGTCCTGCTCGTGTAAAATCGGAGAGCAGGTCAGGATCTCGCAGTCCATCGAGGGCTTCCAAACATTCTGAATCGCACTCTAGATCAAGATCAAAATCAAGGTATGTCCAGGAAGTACTTCAGGTTAATTCAGTATTATTACCTGTTCTCTTAGATACATTGTTCAGAATTTTTGCAAAAAGTATAAATCATCTTCTGGGGGTGTTTTAACAAGGCTTAGTGGATATGAATGGAAGGGAGAAGAAAAGGCAAGTAAAATTTGCCACAAAATTAGTCTAGTCTTTCTCTGGGTTAGAGAAAAGGAGTAAGCTCTGTGAACTACTGAAACAGACTACTTGGGATGGTTCAAGAATAGCTTTAATTAGAGGGTTTAAAAACAAAATGAAGTATAGCTTAAAGTGAGCATGGAGAACTGCTTAGTTTATGGGAGTTTTAGGTTTAAAATAATCATATGGAGCTACACATGTCCCTGTCTGCCTTTTTCACTCTGAGAATGTCTGCACAGGCAATAATTGCAACAATCCATCTTCCCTTGTTCACTTCAGCAGGGCAGTCTAGAAAGAGTCATGATTCTGCTTTAAAATCTCAAACCCAGCCTAATGCTATAGCTTCAGTTCTTGTTGTGCTTAGCCAGCATAGCTAAGGACTGCTGTTAGGATGTAATCCCTGTGTGAAAGTGTGTGATTTAACAGGTTGGTTTCGAATGGAATTTATCATTGGCTGGGGTTTATCAGTTTATCTCTTTTTTTTTTTTATATCCCCAAACTTCTTTTCTTCGCAGACTTCACCTATAGATACTATAGTATTGCTAGATCTTTCTTTTTCTTTTTTGGTTTCTTTTTTTTTTTTTTCCAGTGGAGACAGCTTTTACATTGTGGTATATCTGGCTTCTGTATTGCTGTGTGAACTTCTCGAAAATTACCGTGAATGTAATCTTCCGTTTATGCCAGAATCACTCTCTCTGAATTAAAAATCTTGCTACTGTCTGTGTTAAGATCTGCATTTTTTTAGATGAACAAAGTGCATCTTTTAGAAGAAAATAAGCTATTCTACTTGTGAGCTCCTCTCAAATGAATTTAAGATTTTGTCTGGGAAATGTAAGGCTTACAATTCAATACATGGTGCATATGACCTAACTAAAAGCTTTCTCTCTGTTGAAGATCCAGGTCCAGAAGGCATTCGCACAGACGTTACACTCGATCCAGATCCCATTCCCATTCTCATTCCCATAGGAGACGTTCTCGAAGCAGATCATACACACCAGAGTACCGTCGTCGAAGGAGCCGTAGTCACTCTCCCATGTCCAACAGGAGAAGGCACACCGGCAGCAGAGTATGTCATGTTCATCAAGGCTGAGTATCAACAAAACAGTTGTTACTTGCATTAATGTAGTCTAGGTGATGTGCTGGGTGAATCTAACCTGCTGCTTTGTCTTTGAATGGTCTGGAAACTGTTTTTTGAGGGGCAACAAACTTTGTCCTTACAGCTAGACACCTATTTCTTAGGTTTATGACTAGGAGGGCACTTAGAATCGTATTGGAAACCACATGACTGCAAGTCAGTATGCCTGGAAAAAGTGATGTGTTTCCTGTACTGTAGAAGTTGAATCCTTATTCCTGCTTCAATTTTCTTTTGAGGGGAACGGGGAGGGGGCCGACAGTTCCAAGCATATGCATCCTTCACAGAGGGAAAAACAACAACAAAGAAAAAACTGCAAAAATATCTACCCCAAAATTGACTAGAGGAGCAAAAGAAGTAAATTCTCAGCCGTTTGTTTCGTATAACTTGAGTTATATTCAATGTCCCTAGCATTTTTCTGCCGCTAAGGAATGAATTTGGTGTGTCTTGAGGGGGGGAGCTGGGAAAAGAAACCTTTATATTTTTAGTTACTGTGGAAACCTTAATAGGCCAAAATATTTTACACCTAGGAAAAGGGATCGATAAGCCTCTCTAAATTTAAATGAGAAGCAACCAGATAGCTCTGTGTATACGGGAAGAAGTAAATAGCCAAGATCTAATACATTAGTGCCATAATGTTCTGAGGAGTTTCCCCCAAAGTCCTTGTTTGTGATAGCTTGTTGTTCCGCATCAGTTCACGATGATAGAAGTGTTGCTTCAGGTCTATCTCTTCCTTTGTGAGGACTGGTAATTTTCTGATTCTTACACGTTCCATCCATTTCAGTTTCCCTGAATCTTTTCACTAATCCTATCAAAAAGGATGAATGACTTTTTTGCAGGCTTACCTCTCTGAAGCAGCTCACCAGAATCAGATAAATGTCAGTGTGAGGGAGAAGACAAGAGAGTGTGAGGGAGAAGACAAGAGTTTGCAAAAGAGAGCAAGACTACAGCAGTGTTCATGTACAGCGGCTTAAGCTTTTGGGAGGCAGTGTATATAGTTATGCTTTTTGCAGATGGTTTGCTATGTGTAATCACAGTATAGCAAACATGAGCTCAATGTATTTGAAAAACTGACATGAATAACAGAACATTGCAAGGGTTAGCAGATTTCCTGGAGAAATACAAATGAATCTCTATTGGTATTTTAGAAAATCTAAGAATATTTCCTTTTGCCTTGGGAATGACTTTATAACATTGTCCTTTTCTCAGGATTTCCACATTAATTCTAAGAAATAATAAGAAATAAGGTAAAAACTAAGCTTTAACCAAGCAGATTTTTATGCCCTAACTTGAAGTTGTTCTAAAGGCATCAGAAAAAACTGATACTGATTATGCTACTTCTGTTCACCCTGTAGAAAGAGCTTGGAGATGGAAGCAATGGCTTTTAGCTTCCACAGAAGTCCTTCCAGTCATTATGTCTATCACTTGTTACTCAAGTGTTGAGAAGCAATTTGTACATCTCATCTTGCCTCAGAAAAGGGTTCATGAGTAAGGGACGGTTAGGGACAGTGGGATATTTTTGCTTCGGCAAATATTTTGCCTGTTAGTTTCATAACACAGCTGAATTTAAACGAATTTAAAGTAGAATTTTCCTTTGTTGTAGAATTAAACTTTGAAATGCAAACTTTTACTTAAAAATTGACATATTGATCTTGGAGATTGTAGAGAGGGGCTGGGAAAAGTACAAGACAAAAGAGCTCAACCTGTTTGAGTTAGATTGAAAGACAATCTCTGAGGCATAAACTACAGTGTAGTGTAGTTTGCAATTCAATTTAAGATTTCTAAGCTTCAGTTCAACTGTGTCAACTTTCAGTTATTATTTTAACAGAAACTTGGAATCTCTACATATTGCTGCTATTTTAAATTTTCTTCTAGTACAACAGGTCAACAGGTGCACTGTAAGAATTGATCAAAGTGTTTTTTTGTTGTTGTTAAGCTTCTTGCAGTGACATTATATAAACTCAGTAGAATATGGAAAAGCTAAATATAAAAATGCTGAATCGAGTAGGAAGGTGAATTGCAGTGCATGTTGTACGATTTTGACTCCGTAGATTTAGTTGAAGTAAAATATATAAATGATTTTGTTTCTCTGCTTTAGAAATCTTTATTTTCTTTTGGGGCTACTGTTTCATAGAATACGTCAATGCTTATAAACTGGACGAATATCACCTGCTTCATTCATCTAGTTAATTATGACTGTACTGAGATAAACTTTCAAATGTAAATGTTGACTTTCAATATAATTGAATAGGTAACATTGAGGAGAGAGGAAGTAAACTGTTTTAGCAGAAGCTAAGTTACTGCTCATGTTTACTGGCTCAGATACATTTAGTGTGTGAAATAGAAAGTAGCATGGACTGTTGAGTACCAGCGGTGACCTTCCAGAAGGGCAAAAGATGAGAATGGATCAACCTACCTAAATTCCCAAGTGTGGACTTCCATATCATGTCTCCAGGTTGTGGATGATTCAAATGGGAAACACTAATAAAACAGCTTCCCTTTCCACATCTATTTTATAATCAGAATGCTTAATTTTTCTGAATGGCAGATCAGAATCTTCAACATGAAAAGTTCACCTCCGTTTCAATGTAAAAAAGAAAAGGTTGCTTTTTGAAAATACTTTAAGATTGGAATGTTAACTGTTCAAGTATTAAGCTTTGGAATAGAAGAATTTAGTTTTCTTCAGCTATATTTTTTTAATAACATAATTGAAAAAGGGAAACTTTATTGAGAGTGATGCAATTTGTTTTTAATTAATTTAATTGGAGTTGAATATTTGTCTTACCAGGCTAATCCAGATCCTAATACTTGTCTTGGAGTGTTTGGTCTCAGTTTGTATACCACTGAGAGAGATTTGCGTGAAGTCTTTTCCCGTTATGGACCTTTGACTGGAGTCAACGTGGTTTATGATCAACGGACTGGGCGATCCAGAGGATTTGCTTTTGTTTATTTCGAGCGAATTGATGATTCTAAAGAGGTAAGTTCATGCTTTGCTAGTTGTCATAGATATACTGCTTGTCTGTTGTCCCCACAGATACCTTTCTGGAAGTGATTTGAATGCTTTTGCTAAATAGTTGTCAGAATGAGATTCATTTAAAATATTGTATTCAAACAACATGGCCCTTCTAAGCAGTGAACAGATGAAGCATGTGACCTTAATTTTGTAATTCTATGGGCCCCGGCTATGTGCTTTGACTCACTGATAAAAGTAACTCTTTGCTTTGTTCAAATGGTTTAAAATGGAGGTGGGTTTTAGAAAAGCTGATATTTAGCATTCTTTAAATATTTGGAAGTACTTTCCTGAATCCATCAAAATTCTGAAGGTGTTCTTCTCTACTTTTCGTCTGTCATCATACATTTGAAAATTGTGGTTGGATTTTTTTGGATTGCACCTGCTTGTCGACTTTGCTGGTGAGGCAGCTAGCCCTTTGTAGCTGACCTGAGTTGTTGTCTGTAGAATAATAGATCCCTAAAGAAATAGGCAAAAATCTAAATGGCACCCTATATTATGTTTCTCTATAACAATCAGTATTTACCATCTGTGTCATGATATTGTGAGTATGTTTTCCTAGCTGTGTAAGATACTGAAATTTTTGGGTATGGTTGCTATTAAAAGTAAAGATAACATCTATAACACTTTGAAAATAAATACATAATTAAAAAGCCACTCTTTCAGTCAGTTACTATTTAGTACCATCTATTGTGTGTTCTTTAAGAACTGGACAAATGTCATCTTAGTACCACCCACTGTAGAATTACTTCTTTATGGGGAAACTGAGTCATAGACTTCATGCATCTTGTTTATGACTGAATAGTCTTGGACAAATGTTCCGGACTTGGAACATCTTGGAACTTGTTTGATTTTTTTTTTTTTTTTTAATTGGGTAAGGATCATTTCTAATGCTTGGGCATGTGTTCTGCCTGATGCTGCAGGAATGGAGAGTGGCAACTGTGGGCCTAGTAACAGTGAATGAGAAGTGAAAACTTAGAAGTGCCTGTTTGCTCTGATAACGTCTTAATGGCTAGAAGTTCCATGCATGACTTGGTTGGGCTAGACTCGGTTCTGAGCTTTGGCAGGTTTATGGTGTAATTCCGAGCCAGCAGCTGTAAAAGTCAAAAAGACTATTTTCACACTACTAGTTTTGCAGGGCGAGAGAGGAGTTAATGAGGTGGCTTGTTCAGTTCTGACTTTTTGGCCTTATTTTTTTTTTCACTTTTGGTAGGACTTTGAGAACGCAGTAGTTCTTTTGCATTACAGTTAATATCCAAAATACTTGGAAAAAACTTGTCACGTTAGTACGATAGTCTCGTCTGTTTGTTTTACAACTTTGTATTTAGAAGTGCAGGTTTTTTAGTTGTCATGAGCAGTGGTCATGCACGATGCCATGCATTTCTTAAAATGCTCCGTGTAAATAGCATAAAGTAATCTGTGTTTGGTGTGAAGCTGTCTTGGCAGATGCTACAAGACTGTGGAATGCAAAGCAAAAATGGGAAATTACATGCAAAATCAGGAACAGAAATAAAGATGAGCATCTCCATCGGGAACTGAAAAAAAATGGGAGTATAATTGGAGAGGCAATTAATTTTCCCCCATCCTCTTCCTTAAACAGTTTCTCTTATGCAAATTCAAAGTATTCAATGTTTCACATCTCTGGCGCTTCTCTTTCC